CGTTCGGCCCGAACGGCCGAACGCATCCCCAGGGGGTTCCAGACATTCGGGCGTTCGGGTTCGGGCGTTCGGCCCGTCCCGAACGCCGGTTACCCTGTATATATATATAAAATATATGCTGATACCAGATACTGACCACGCAAAGGTGTTGCCTTCACGCTGGTGCTGGAGCGCTGAAGATCAAGCTGGAGCTATGGCGCCCCTAGGTGAGTCATCAGGTAAGTCCCAGTGTCCGGCCTCCGCCTCTTTCCCGTTGCAGTCTCCACTGCAGTCTCCATGCTCACCACCTCTGGCCAAAGCCCGCACAACTTTGCAAAAGGCTCAGGTCCGCATCACCGGACCTGAGCCTTTTGCAAAGTTGTGCTGGTTGTGGCCAGCAGCTCCCTCATCTTCCGAATGGAGGTGGATGTGCAAGGGGTATCGATGTCGGTGGTCTGTGGAAGAAGAAGGTCAGCGAAGATTCGTCCTTTCCGACCTCCATGGTGAAGCTCAAATGGAGTGACGTTGATCATCGGATGCAATAACGTGTTGTTGTAGGCGAACTCGATGTTGGGAAGACGGTCTACCCAGTCCTTTTTATCCGGTCGAATGAGCGTGCGGAGCATCATTTGGGCGGTTTGATGTGCCCTCTCCATTTTGCCGTCCGTTTGTGGATGCCGAGCGGAACTTGGTTTCATGGTGGTGTCGGACTCCTTCATGAAAGCAGTCCAAAAGGCCGAGATGAACCGAGTGTCACGGTCGCTAACGATGTCCTCCGGAACGCCGTGACCGCAAATCCAGCCAACGTGCAAGGTTCGTGCAAGCTCGGGAGCGATAGCATGGTACTTGCATGGGAGGAATCGAGCGTACTTGCTTAACCGGTCAACGACCGTGAGAATGTCGTCGTGACCGAAGCGGCCCTGCAGAAAGGAACCCTTGACGTCCATAGCAATGGAGATGTCGGGTTCGCGTGGAATGGGCAAGGGTCGTAACTCGCCGTACGACTTGTGATTGTGGGGTTTATACTGTCGACAAACTTCACATGACTCTCCAAGCCGGACCATCATAACTTGGACCGCATTCGAGCGATCGTGCGATTTGCTCCAAGGTGACCGGCGAGGCGCGAGTTGTGGTACTCGTTGAGAAGGTGAGTCTGAAGCTGACGATCTTGAGGCACGCATGGTTGGTCCTTGCCTCAAGTGTGAAGGATCAAGTAGCCATTGACAATTCGATAGTGGCTCGTCGGTGGGTTCTCCGAAGAGAGCTGCTCGTAGAGTGGCGCGTACTTGGGGTCGGGCTTGTAGCCTCGGATGAAGTGTACTTGGAGGTCCTCGCCGAATGCAAAGGCATGGTGTGTCATGGTGCAAAGATCGGGTCTTCGCGAGAGTGCATCGGCTGCACGATTGGAGAGGCCTGCAAGGTGTTTTGGTGTGAAGTCAAATTGGTAGATGTAGTACATCCATCGTCCAATAGTGTTGCTCGTCGTGTCTTGTGTCTTATAGTAAGTCAACAGGTTGTTGTCCGTAACCTATGTGAACTCACGACGCCCAAGGAGGAAGTGTCGTCATCGCTTGAGAGCCATCATGAATGCGAGCAGCTCTTTCTTACTTGCATCATGATGGAGGGCACCTTGTTGCTGAAGGACTCCACTGGGTGCCAATCCTCGCTATTGTGCTATTACAAGACTGTCCCAATGTCGTTGCTGGAAGCGTTGGTTGTCACTCTTGTCGGCAACGTGGGATCGTAGATGCTTAGGCCAGTGCCATGAGCATGGCCGTCTTGAAAGCATGGTGTGCTTCATTGCTGAATTCGAAGGGCACCTTTGGCTATTGTAATCGTGTCAATGCTGCTGCAATTCTTCAATTGCCATGATGAAGTGTTGGTAATAGCCGGCCAATCCCATGAACGATCGAACGTTCGTGGTGTTGGTGGGCTCAGGCCATACACGGATGACCTCAATTTTGTTCGCGAGTGGAAGGATGCCTTGCGGCGTCACATAGTGGTACTTGAGCTCTTGCCGCGCTAATTCGCATTTGTCGTGGTTGCCCTTGTACTTGGCTTGTCGTAGACGCTCCAAAACGGTGCATAGGTGCTCCACATGCTCATCCAAGGTTCGACTATACACCAAGATGTCGTTAAGGTAGATGAGCACGGACTGATTCAATAGACTGTGGAACTCCGTGGTCCTGACTGCTTGGAAGGTGGCTGGGGCATTCATAAGGCAGCAAGGCATGACCAACCATTCGAAATGCCCATAATGCGTCTTAAACGCAGTTTTGTGACGGTCTCCTTGTCGGATCTCAATTTGGTGATAGCCTCATTTGAGGTCTAGCTTGGAGAAGAACTTGGCGCCGCCCAACTGTTCGAGGAGATCATCGATTCGCTGGAGGGGCCCAGCGTTCTTCACAGTGTGTGCATTGAGCATACGGTAGTCAATGCACAATAGTAAGTTTTTGTTCTCCTTCCAAACAAAGAGAACGGGAGCGGCGTATAGTGAAGAGCTAGGCCGTATCCAACCTTTCGCAAGAAGATCGTCGAGTTGTGCCCGGAGCACAATTAGTTCTCCTACCTCATGGGGTAGATGCAACTGAGCAGAGGTACGGCCCAAGGCTCGAGAATAATCCCATGCGGTATGGGTCGGTCCAGTACAATTCCTTGCAGGGCTTCGAATACGTCGTCGTAGGCGTCAAAAAGCTTTATAATGCATGGATTCATCGATCCATCCGTCGATGAAGAGTCTTGTGGAGGGAGGGCGTGGACACAACACATACCCATCTCCTCGATCTCATTTCGTGAGATGGATGCTCGAACGTTAGTGGCGGACACGACGTGGCAGCCAATCGAAGGGAGAGGTGGAGGTACCATGCATGAAGCCAATTTGCCGAATCGGTCATGGATGTGAACCGTGCGACGATAGAAGTTCACCGGATGGTCCTCACTTCCCAGCCACTACATGCCCAAAATCATGTCGAATTTGGTGTCCAAAATGTCAAAGGACACCGTTTCGCATGCGTGCGGGCCACAAAGTACACCGGGAATGAGCGATGCACCGATCAATTGACCTGCGCGTACGACCGTCGGCCAAGGTGACTTCCGTCGGCTGCGACTTCCTTCGAACGCGAGGCCCAAGACCAGCACGTACCATGAAGTCTTGGCTTATGTAGTTGCGAGTAACGCCAAAATCGATCAAAGCACTGTAGGTCACTTCCGCGATCTGAATGTGGATGTACAACAATTTTGCATTGTTGTCGACATACTGTTGTGTCTCGAACTCGCGATCAATCTTTGCAAGATAGTTGCGAAGGTCAACAACCTCTACTCCGACGTCCATCAACGGAGCTGGTACTGCAGTGTGCAAGTACTCCCGCAATTGTGCCATCAAGGCGTTGGAATGCGGTTTCGGCAATTGTCCAGTCGGGGGAAGGGGCATCCAGTGGAAGTCCACGATTGTCAACGGGTGGAGCTCCTCAAGTCTTTACCATGACGTCACATCCCCGACTGACATCAACGGCGAAGGTGCCGATTCGTTTGCCCATGGTGATGAAACCGTGCATGCGGTGGAGTCTAGCACGTGGTTGAAAGGTTGGACCAAGTGAACAGCATAGTCCTCGTAAGTAAACTGAGGACTCACGACATCCATGTTCTCCCCGGATGTGTAGGAGGCCGCTAGCAAGGTGGGTGTATTCGGCGAAGTGGGAGGTGGAGTTGTCTCACCTCCCGTGGTGCTCAGTTTCCCGAGCCGTTGCGAGGACGAACGGCGACCTCGCAATGATCTTGGCATTGCGAGGTCTTGTGCTTGGTGCTGTTGCACCAATAGCAACAATAGTACCGGCTGCACCACTTGTATTCATTCTCAGTCAAGTTGAACTTGACCCATGGTGCTGGTTGTCCAGTTCCGGCCACTGATGCTCGCTTTTCCATGATTACGGTTATTGTTGTTGCTTCGCGGCTGGACGGCAGCCATCTGATCTCCTGCACTTGATGCTGGGGTGGCTGTTGGGTCTTCCAGGTGTCCAACTGGTTGGACTACAGCGACGGGCTGCGGTCGTTGACCAGGTCGTCCTTTCTCCACATAGGTGGGCTGCGCCAACGATTTGTTGTGAGTGGCCGCCCGATTAGTCTTGATGATCTCGGCAAAGGTCGTGTATTGGAATCAATCACCAAGTGCTTGAGCCAGGGCAACGCACAAGCGGTTGTAGAACTCCCGTCACAGGTGGTTGAACAAAAGTCCAGGTTGGGCGTTGCCACAACCTTCTGCCATTCGGTGAGCCAATCTCTCGTAGGTGTGCTGCCTTGGGACATACTGAAAATGCAGTTGACGGCGAGTGTCGAGGCGTCGTCGACTATGAACCATCACTTCCATGCATCTGTGATTTCCTTCCATGTCATCTTGGTGTGGAGATCTGCAACCTGCACTGCGTGGATGGTTGCCAGGTGGTTTAACCAGATCTGGCATCCGGCCGTGGCAAGTAGGTAGAGTGCCGAGACGTAGAGGTACTTGGGGGCCCGATGGATCCGGAGTTCTATTATGGACTGCCACCAGATGACGGGGTCTTGATGTCTGTAATCATCGAACTTCTCGAGCCTGAAAACTGGCATCCTGTAGGCGGCTGCTGCAGCTTCCGTATCTCGTTCTTCAACGAGCCGAGCTGCTTGATGATGGTGGCTGGTGCTGTGAATGCGGAGAGTTCGCCGAGCATTGCTACCACATGGTCGAGTCGTTTTTCCAATTCACGGGCTGAGGCTGCAGTCTGGCTGGCACTTGACTCGCCGGCGTCTCGGCTTGGTGATGAGTGCTCCAAGTCGTGGACGTGGGCATGAAGTGCCCGAGCTGCGTCCTCTTGTAAGACCTGCCGGTTTTTCACCGCCTGTAAGAGGTTTTCTAACTCATGTTGCTGCTGGTTACAAGTATAAACCAGGCACAGCACAAGCTTGGAGAGGAATTCCTTGTGTTTCTCCTCTGGTGTCGCGTTCTCGTGTCCGGCGAAAGTCTGAAAGTGCCAAAACTTCAGTCTTTCGGCGGTGGCTGCCTCGTGTCGCAGTAACAGCTCCCGAGCTTCCTTGCAGCGGGCTTGGGCGTCTGCGTCGGCTGCTGCTTGGCACTGCTGCCGGGCTGCATCAGCCTCAGCCTGTATGCGGGTAGCCTCGGCCACGGCCTGTCGTAGTTCCTCAGCCTCATTCTCTGCCAGCATACGCGCGCGAAAGGTGGCGAGGGACTCGCCGACGCTGCTTGGCGCTGCTGCCGGGCTCCATCAGCCTCAGCCGGTATGCGGGCAGCCTCGGCTGCGGCCTGTCGTAGTTCCTCAACCTCAATCTCTGCCAGCATATGCGCGTGGAAGGTGGCGACGGACTCACCGGCAAGTTGGCCTGTCATCCTCAGGGCTGGTGCGGCCATGCGGACGTGGCACTTCTGCTGATGTGTCACTCTGCTGCTGACACGGCACTTACAAAGCCGTGGGAGAACCTGGGAGAGAGGGAGGGAGGGCTCAGACACTCACCAGCATGCAAGACTACCAATCCCAATGGTAAAGGCCTAATCAAGAAAAATGCCCCCCTTTTGCAGATTGACAACTGAAGTAAGGAGAAATTCAAAAATAGTAAAATACTTGATATTTTGTTTGGGAAATGGCAAAACGGGGTGATCGGCCCTGGCCGAGGAGCAGTCTGATGATCAGACTGGACTGTCCTGTAGGTAAGTGCAGAAAGAAAATATTTGAGATTGGTTGCAATATCAAAATTCGTTAGTTGAGGTAGGTGGAAAAACTTTCCCCTCCCAATTTCGGATTTTGAGTACTTCTGAGACAATTCAAGAAGTGTGAGGAACAAGCCCTCAAGGGGCCCTATCAGACATCACATTGTTCTGGGATAAGGCCCCCAGCAAGCCAAAGTGCCTGCCCTAAGTGAAGGCGGGCCTGAATATTCGTCAGAGGCAAAATTCGACATTTCCATATGTGGGTATTCAGGCTCTCGCTGCACGCCAGTTGGTTGAGTAGACGCGTGAGCCTCACATTTCTGCGTCATACAGTTGGCCCAGGCCCGACAATTGCATCTGGGCACAACCTTCGGCCTTGGCAAAAGCAGTAGTGCCGACACACCTGCCTGGGTGCCCTGCACAGATGCAGCAAACAGCCCAAGTCCAGAGACTCAGGCCGTGCCTAACTGTAAAGGGCCCAGGCCCTCAACTGTAGTCTCGGGCCTGGGCGCAGGGTCTAGGACCCAACCGGAAGCTACTGGAAGCTTCCAGCCAGGCCACACGCAGCATCCAGGAGGCTGCCACTTCCAGAAAAGGAGTGAGGCAGCCCAGGCCAGGCATTCTGGCCATTGCTGGCAATGCGGAAGTGCTGCTGCCAAGGGCGCTGACGGGACGCGTAGAGGTGAAGTGGGGCGCTGCAGTGCAGCGGGGCGCAGGCGGCCATAGCCGGGCTGCTGGGCGCCAGGGGGTAATGCGGGCGACTGAGTGGTCTTTAGGGAAGGAGGCGACTGTGGGGTAATCAAGGTCTGATTGAGGGTGACGAGATACATACCTGGTACATGAAGAGAGGTCGGCGATGGTGTTGGTAGTCATGCACATTGGTCTTCGTGAGTCGAAGTGATCCTGTTGCGTGAACCAGCTGTAGGTAGGATAGTCGGGTAGAGTAGGCTGGGCGCTGAGCGCCAGACAAAGCAGAGCGACTTTGGATACTGTGTTGGTGTGGCCTACGGGCTTGAACATTGGCTCGTTACTTCATTGTATTGATCTATATGGATGGTTTTCTCGGTGCATTTGTACTCTCTGCTTGGGACACGACTACTTGGACAGTTGTGTGATTTCGCAACTTGGTTTTATGTATATCGCTCACACTCATATTCCTTGCAATTTGGTACAAGAGCTGGTTGGTGATCACCGCTTACCTGGCACTGGCGACATTGTGACATGGTGCGTTGACGATGCTTCATGTGCAGTAAGGATACTTTGGCGCTGGTTGATTAGCGGGGCCTAGGTGGAGAGGCCGGCCGCTGGAAGGCTGTGGCGACAACGTGGGAGCTGTGGCGACATCGGGTGTATGCATGATGATGAGAGTATGCGGACGTGGCGTTTTGGCTGAGGTGGCACTGCATTGCGTTGTGGGTGGTACCGAGGCTAATGACCGGTCATCGAAATGCACGTCGGCCCAATTGGTGAGAAATTTGTGGTTGGGGGCAACTATCTCCAGGTACGTTGTTCCCATTCCTTATCTACCCTCTCAATCTCTTTTTACCGTGAGGAAGTGAGTCCAACTTGAGTGTCCTCTCTTTTAAAAGGAGTCGTGTGCGCTCTACCTTGAGAGACGACATTCTTCCCGATGGCGCATCTAGCAGGAGAGGGCGGTGCCTCTGAAGGGCCCTGGTCGAAGCACGGGTCACGGTCACCATGCCAACCCATGGGTATTAGTACGCGCAGGCCATGCTGCTTTGTCCATTGAGGCTCTTTGCTGCGCTGATAGAAGGGGTGTGCGGACTGACCCGTCCTACGTAGACACTCCCAGACCATCTATAAACATTTCTGGTTGGGGTTTGAATTGTCCACTGGCTGTGATCGTCGTCCTGATTGCGACGTTAAAGAATTCTGAGGACTCTCGGGGGCTGTCCTTCAATTGCCTCTTGATCAGCCAGATCAGTCAGACGTAAGGCTCGTTGCACACGAGGGTAAATAAAGGGCAGGCTGGTCAGAAGCATACTTCTTGGGCACAGGGGTGGGCCGTGGTTGCACACCTTATACACCGCAACTTGATGATGCTCATAGGTACGTTGGATACAGGGGAAGGGGATTCCAATTGTGAACTCAACTGTACATCAATAAATTATCCATTGTGCATACATATGCGGCCTGTCATAGTTTATTTTTATCTTGATTAGTGGGTTGACAGACTGCTAACACCTAACAGACAGCCTAGAGTAGGACTGTAATCTACCATAGTCAATTCTTCTTAAAGCTTTTGTGCAGAACTAATCAAAGATAGAGGTAGACTACATGTGCACAGTTTGTGTAGGTGTTGTTGATGCCGCTTGACTAGTAGTCTCGGTAACTCGTCGGACACCAATTATTTTATTTATTTTTAGAACCGGTCAGACGCATGCTGCGGTAGGTCCCAAAGAGGACATTAGTGCAGTCAGCGTCTGCCTAGCCCATGAGCGGATCAGAGGGTGGGGAGGATAGATCTGACGATAGGAGGCAGACTTGACGGGATACCGGTAGGATACCCGTTGTGTTCCAAGGATTGCGAGACAGGCAGCGGCAGCGGCTGAACGCGCATTAGCAGCAGCAGCAGCAGCAGCTAGTGCGGTAGCAATGGCTACCTCTTCAGCCACTTCTGCTGCAAACTCAACTGGTCAGAGTTAGGGTATGCTACCCAACGCGACCAGTTCGCAGTCCATCTCCAGTACGTTAGGAGCTGGCATTAGTCAGATGACAGGTTCGCAGTTCAACTCGCCACCTCCACGCACCCGGGAGCAGATGGAGCTCCAGCAAGTAGAGAGGATTCGCTTAAGGCTAGAGGAGGAACTCAAACAGGCTAAAAGAGAGAAAGAGATTAGAGATAGGAGTATCAGACTAGAGGGTAAGGAGGCAGACAAGGCTGCACTAGAGGGGTTAGATGACTCGACACTCAGCAATAATGAAAAGATTATGAAGGCGAGCATCATGTCCATGCATGCATACATGGACATTAAACTGGATACCATCCAGGACACCTTAGACCAGATCTTGAATGCCATGCATAGCCCAGGAATCAGGTCAGCAGTCTTGCCATCGCTGCCATTCTCAGTGACGACAACTCCTATGCCGCTCAGTCCGGACCACCTCCAAGTGGTACATCAGCAGCAGCCTATCTTAGACTGTTGCTTCTTCATCTTCCGGTCCAGCGACTGGTGCTACACCACAGTTGCCACCTGTCTCGCCAACGGGACAACAATTTCCTTGGTATCCCAAGACCCCCCTGAAACCACCTCCAACGTTCTCAGGACACAAGAAGGACGAGGCTCTTGACACGTGGTTGAGAACGGTGCCAGTGTGGGTGAGGGCAAAGAGGACATTGGTAGAGGAGGAAGTGATTACTGCTGCATCCTACTTAGAGGGTTCAACATCTCGCTGGCTAAATGGATTGGTAGCTTCAAAGGAGTTCGGCAGGAACATGGGTGATTGGCCACAGAACGACACCCTAGAAAGCTTTGTGGACTTAGTGGAAGCACGGTGGCACAATCCTCAGCAGGCACAGATCGCCACTGATGGATTATTAAAGCTTGATGTTAGGAAGTACAAGTCAGTGCGAGAGCTTACCACATCCGTAGAGCGTTTGATCGTTGTCCCAGGAGTGGAGTACAATCCACAGGTCTTGTTGACCACGTTCGTGAGATGTCTTCCCACAGACATCAAGAACTTATTGGCCAGTGAGGCTCATAGAGAGTATCACACCTTTGAGACATTCAACAAGAAGGCCCTAGACTTAGAGGCTACGCTGGGTAGTGCTCAAACCCCTTCTACGGACGGGAGAAAGAAGAAGACTCCACAGGAATGGAAGAAGAAGGGTAGTCGATTGATGATGGTTGATTCCGAAGGGAATCAAACTGAATCGATGATGATTCTGAACTTGTGGAGGGAGCAGAGTTAAACGGCGAGGAGAGTGTTGAGGGTAGCAACCTCGCTGCAGTAGTTAAGACTAAGGCAACAGGCCGCGGCAAGGGCGGTCAGCAAAGGAGTCAGGGGCAGGCCACCAAACCAAACAAAATAGCAGCTTGGGTTAGGGCAGGCCTGGATCAAGAAGTGTGGCGGGACTGTTGGTCGCGAGGTGCTTGCATAAACTGTGGCGAGTACGACCGTACGCAGTTTAAATGCAAGAACCCAAAGGTCTTATAGAAGATCCCTCCTAAGGGTGGGTTTCCTTCTTCTCAGTCCGGGGCCTCTACGAGCTTCAACTCGGGAAACACTTAGGGCCGGTAGAAGATGTAGCTGCTTCTACTCTCGTTGAAGCGGGTGATGTACCCTCCTCGTTTTAAGAGTCGGCTGAAGCTATTGACTCCTTAGTCACCTTGCAGATGCATCCGGACCCAACTATACTCTGTACGTTAGATGTGTCTGAAGCCTTAGAGAACCTTCAAGGTGAGTGGTCGGCAAGGGACCCTCGTGAGTCCTGGGTGGCACTGAGTAGAGGTCCTAGAGGGGAGCACTTCGTTGTGAAAGTTGGTGTCGGTGGTTGCAAGTGCAGCGCCTTCGTAGACATTGGCTCCACGCGAAACTTTGTAAGTCGCGTTGACAGACTGCGCCTCAAGGACTAGGTGTTGCACCTTAGTAGACCGGTAGAATCTACTTTGGCCAACAAAGAGCCCATGTTGGTGGAGGACTATGTTAAAGATGTAGTCTGCACTTTCTCCTGCCCAGGAGGAGAGATACCCCATAAGATATCATTCCTGGTGAGCGACGATTTGCCCTTTGACATGTTGTTGGGCATGTACTACCTTGAGGTTGCCAAGCCCCAGTTTGACTGGGACAAGAAGGTGTTGAAGCACGAGTTGCCTAATGGGAGGACCGTTAGACTGGCTAAGTATAAAGCCAGTAGATTAATAGACTCCTATGGGTGCTTATGCGCATCTGCCTTCTATAATTACAAGTGGACCCCGCTACGGCCACGCCGTGGCGCACAGCAACACTCGCTGATGGCGTCTCATTTTTCTTTCATGTCTCTCTCTCTCTCTCTCTCTCTCTCTCTCTCTCTCTCTCTCTCTCTCTCTCTCTCTCTTTGTTTCTTCCCATGTTGTGCTTGGCGGGCATTGGTGCTTGTCGTCTGCTCTCTCTCTCTCTCTCTCTCTCTCTCTCTCTCTCTCTC